ATAAAATATAAAAAATATATTCTAATATTATATTTAAAACCAATTTTCCCACATTAAAAAATTGCACATAAAACTGTGAAATAAAATATTTTAAATCATATTTATCTTAAATAAAATGTATTTTAATATTATATATAACCCCTCAGAGGACCTCAGATGATGCCAACCCTGAAACAACATACAGAACTACCAAATTTTTGCTATACGTTTGATAGCATCATATAATAATTGCTGTTAATAGTGTTCATCGTCTGTTTGATTACGTCTTTAATTGATTATGTCTTTAATTGATTTTTCCATACATTTCTCCCATATGTACATTAACTGACAGTCACCACTGATAAGCTACTACTAAATATTGTAGAAACTTAATTTTCTGTAAAGTTGCTTTCCAACGATTTGTATCGTGAAAAGCACTATACAAAAAAACTTGAATTTAATTGAATATAAAATGTAATATAGTATCATTGAAAATATTGCACATTTTGGTAAGTTTAAAAGCAAAATTAGTTAAAAATATAATATAACAATATTATTTAAACATATATAGTTTTAAATGTAATATTATTTAAAACAATTTTTCACATTTAAGTTACACAATTTTTTGTGCGTGTATGTGTATTTTTTCATGAAGGAAAATTCTTTTTTTTTAATTATATATATATTTTTAAATAATATTCCACATTTAAGTTACACTATATGGACATTTTAATGAGTGAAAATCGGTTAAATAATATTATAATATTATTTAAAATGATAATTCATAATATTATATATTTCTTGTAAGATCGACAAAAATTGAGATCTGGCATTGCAAAGATCTGCTAAAACAGTTGCCACATTTAAATTCACACTCAAAACACATCTGTTTAGCTGTGCATTTACTGAATGAGCTGAATGTACTTTATTTCCTTTTATGTAAAGCACTTTGAATTACCATTGTGTATGAAATGTGCAATATAAATAAACTTGCCTTGCCTTTTCTCATGAGGACCACAGAGGCTAAATTTTACACAATAATGGCCCTGAAAGATCTTGAGCTCACCTGCACGGCTGTGGAATGGAGACTGGATTCTGGACAGCGAGAGCCACACTGTCACCCTTCTGAAATATCAAGTCATATGGTCCCTCCAGCATCATCATACAGTACAACACACAACCTAGAGACTAGGGTACAAAATACAAAGATTACCTACAACAGACATAACAGACTGCCACGGACATAACATTATGCTGACCTGAAGGAGCAAAGATAAGAAAGGACAACGTTTGCTAACATTAGCCCTGCACAGACATAACTAAACACACTGAACAGCAATAAAACAACATGTCATGGGTGGGCTTGGACTGTTGCAGGATTCTGTCATTCACGCTGTTTTGAGAATGAAGTGCTGAAACGTAAATAACCATTACACTCGTAAAAACACACAAAAACGAGAATTACCCAAATATCTGTTCTGTCATCAATGATACAGTGACTCTCCACATTAAAGAGCTCTGGTGCTCTGTACGAGATGGTGCACCTCTGAGCGGCCCAATCCTGAATGAGCAAGTGTACAAACATGATTCATTTAATGTTCTGATTGGCTGAAAATGTATTGATAAGTGCCGCTGGACAATTTTCTGCTCTAACCTGGACTGTCATGGCCTCCCGCGACCCCCGAACTTCAATCCTGGCCTTGTTCATGGAGCCCAAGTCCATTAACAAAGGGCGATCGTTCTCATCCAGTAAAACGTTGGTGGGTTTCAAGTCCCTGTTTCCAGAAATAAAGCTCATGAGTGATAATAACAACAGGAAAACATTCAAATGTACATTGTACATGATGACAAATGTACATTATCCTTCAGAAATCATTCTAATATGCTCATTATCAATTTAATGCATTATTGCTATATAAAAAGCATTAATTTCTTTAAAAAAAAAAAGTTTGAATTGTAGTGTACACATTTCAGACTGAAAACAGGATATTCCTCAGGAGTTATCAGTTCAGTACCAGGACAGCTTTTGTTATCTACATAACTATGATATAATATCTTCTTTGGGTCACTTCTATTGAAAGTCTCTCTAGGATTCATATAAAAGAACCCCTCGGCTCTTAATGCATCGTGTTTACTTCTGGAGCATCAGTGAATGTTTGAACCTTTTGTAATAGTTGTGTATGAGTCCCTCAGTTGTTGTCAGTGAAGAAATGAAAAGATGGATCTCAAAATCATACAGTCACTGCTTGAAAGGGTTCAAATATGCAAAAAAAAAAAAAATGCTGAAAACCAAATAATTTGCGAGATGGAGGATTTTTCTGAAGAACAGTTGGCAGTTTAACTGTTCAAACAGGGGACTCATGAACAACCATCACACACACACAGTTGTGGATCATTTAAGTAACGACATATAGTATTAAGAACCAAGTCTATGTAAACATTGGCATGTTTTATCATAAATGCTGTTGCTGCTGTTTTAGAAACTGCAAAGTATTGTTTATTGTTAGTTCATGTTAACTAATGTAGTTGACTACTGTTAACAAATGGAAAGTGCTACCAATTACATTAAAGGGGTCATATGATGCTGCTAAAGAGAACACTATTTTGTGTATTTGGTGTAATGAAATGTGTTTATGCGGTTTAAGGTTCAAAAAACACATTATTTTCCACATACTGTACATGTTTCACTTTCACAACGAAACACAGCATCACATACGGCGGCCTAGAGTGAGCAGAGGTCGGGGGATAAAGTGAGGAACGGCCGGCGAGCTGAGTGAGCAGAGGCCGGGGGATAAAGTGAGGAATGGCTGGCGGGCTGAGTGAGCAGAGGCGGCGGATTCGACGAAGGAGCGTCCGGAGGGCTTGCGGCAACCACATGTGACGACCCCGGGCT